AAACCATTTCAGGTGACTACCTCTTGAAGCTCATGGAGAGAATGCCAAGAGTGTGCAAAGCAGTAATCAGAGCAAAGGGTGGCTATTTTGAAGAAACTAGAATATAAAACATGTTTTCAGTTATTTCACCTTTTTTTGTTAAGTACATAACTCCACATGTGTTCATTCATAGTTTTGATGCCTTCAGTGAGAATCTACAATGTAAATAGTCATGAAAATAAAGAAAACGCATTGAATGAGAAGGTGTGTCCAAACTTTTGGCCTGTACTGTATGTACTTCTTTTCTTTGTTTAAATGTAAAGCGTCTTTGAGAGCTGCAAAAGTAAAATGTATTATTATTATTCATTATTATTAAGATGAGATGAGACCATCAGACCATCACCTTGACAACTCCTTATGGGTTGTCTTCCTCATCTTCCCCACCACCACACCCCACAAAGACCCCACCAGGGCAGCTACATTATAACTCCCATCAAGCAAGACCAGAACCACTTCTGCCGACAAGAGCCCCACCCCAGCCACAGCAACAGAGGTCACACCCTGACCCACAGGGTTACGCTCAGGCAGTGAGAAGAGCAGCAAGCCTGCCCCCCACCAGCACCCCTGTACCTTAACCACACAACAAACTGAGAGACATCCAGCAGATGCTTAGCCTGCTCTGCTGTCACCTGGGGTCCATTTCAGAAAGCAGGTTCAGTGAAAACTCTGAGTCTGTTAACCCTGAAATGAGGGAAACTCTGGGTTTTCCGTTTCAGAAAGGGAGGTAACTTAAACCAGAGAAAGCGGAGTAACTCCAGCCCATTTCAGAAAGAGAGGTAACTGAAGCTCGGTGTCAGTTACTACGGCAACTGACTCTGTGAACCTAACCTGGTCAGGAGCAGGTTTTCTTCAATGACCCTCGAGTTTCTAGTTGTCTCCTCCCTCTTACGCCACACACGCAGTGTGATTCATTCATTCATTCTTTTAGTGTCGCGTGGGTTTCGGCGAGTTTGATCATCTGTCCTCAAGTTAAAATTGGATCCTAAAGTGTGTTCTACTTCTAAATCTACTTTTTTCTACCATGGCATGTCTGTTCTTGGAGGACCCTGTGGACGAAGAGGCAGTGTTACTGAGGAGGGAGTTACGCATTTGTCGGGAGATTATTCACAGGCCAAGAATTGACATATTATCATTTCCAGAACATTTTCTTTTTGAACGGTACCGTTTCACATCACAGTCCATCATTTATATCCAAAACCTAATCCGTCGTGACATAACAAACGTCACCAACCATGGAAGTGCACTTTCATCTACCCAGATTAATTGTGTTACTCTTCGTTTTTTTGCAAACGGGAGTTTTCTGTATAATATCGGAGATGCAGAAAATATCAATAAAGCCACTGTCTGCAGAGCCGTGAGAAAAGTGTCCCTAGCTCTGAAACGTCTATTAAACTCTTTTGTTGTGTTCCCTGGACATAAACCTGTGAGGGTCATCAAGGACGAGTTCCACAGGATTGCAGGTGAATGATGTAGAAATCAGTTAAAATTTATGATTATAAATCATCTTCAGTTAATGATATGGTGCTGCAACCTCAGACTGGGATTAGTAATTTTAATTTCTTTTAGGATTTCCCGGTGTGATAGGGTGCATTGATGGAACCCACATTCCCATCATTGCTCCTTCACAAAATGAAGGAGACTATGTGAATAGGAAGTCCATTCACAGCATTAATGTCCAGGTAGATTGACTGTCTCAAAATGTCAGACTGCATCACACTGCAAAAACTCAAAATCATACCAAGAATATTTGTCTTATTTCTAGTCAAAACAAATCACACCTAAAAGTAACTTGTTTTTAGACAATTTTCACTTGTTTTAAGCACATTTTCACTTGAAAAATAATTAGAAAAATCTTTCAGTGAGCAAGTTTGTTATTTCTACTTATTTCAATTGAAAATGTGCTTGAAACAAGTTACTTTTTAGGTGATGTGTCTTAAGTGTAAACACATTTGATTTGCTTAGAAATGAGAAATGTAGACTAACAACTAACATCTGTTATTCTCTGCACTGTCAAGATCATATGTGATGCAGCCCACATTATCACTAATGTGGAGGCCAAGTGGCCTGGGTCGGTACATGACTTACGGATGTATCGTGAGTCTAATATCAGCAACATACTGGAACATGGTAAGGAGCCTAAAGTTTTGCACAATCACTTGTATGAATCCCCCCACAGGCACAATGAACACAAGCAGTTTTCTAGGAACTGGTTTAATGAAGCCATCCAATCTCCATTACACCATGAAAACTGTACACAAATAACACAATTGACACAATTAGATATAATAAAATAAAGTAAATTAGACCAGATAAAACGTAGGCTACACACATGTAGCTAGCAATACAATTTGACCAAATAATAAGAAACAAAAGGTACCTTGTTGGCTGCATGCAATAAAAGAGGGAATTGTCCATGAAGCAGGAGGTGATTGTCCTTAATGTCGTTTGTTGTCTCTTGTCTTGTCCGACAACTAACTTAAAAACCTTGTAAATAGCCAAATAACCGCAAGGTTATCTGACAGTCCATCAATCATCTCTTCATGTCAGGAAAGAAGAAAGCGGAAGTACGTAACAGGAAAGGAAAGTGAAAGTACGTCTCCAAACAATGCGAGACCAGGCTTGTAGACCATGTACATAGGAATAATCAAATTAATCAAATCATGTGTCACTCAATAAAACTACTATGAAAATACAATCATGTCTCCAATTATTAATATGAAATGTAAACATATAAATATGTAAATGTAAATAACTATGAATTAACTGTTTATATGAACCAATCATGGAATCAATTATGCATTAATGAAATATATCAATGAACTGTATGCACCATCATGGATACATTTACAACTTGTCTCCCTCCTTTAATGCACTCAAACATATCCACTATACATTACAGGAGCATTTGATGGCTGTCTGCTGGGTGACAGGGGTTACCCATGTCAGGTAACTCTGATGACCCCTTACCCTGACCCTGACCCAGGCCCTCAACAGAACTTCAACCTGGCCCATTGCAGAATGAGAGCCAGGGTGGAGATGACCATAGGCCTGCTGAAAGCCCGTTTCCAGTGCCTATGTCACCTCAGGGTAACACCTGAGAGGGCCTGTGACATTATTGTGGCATGTGTTATTCTCCATAATATTGCCACAATTAGAGGAGAGCAACACCCTGACCTACAAATGGAAGAGCATGATGATGACCCCATCCACCCTGCAGACATCCAGGATGGAAGAGCAGTCAGAGACATCATATGCCACAATCACTTCACTGTTTAAAATCACAATCACCACCACCCAGAGCAGTCAAATAAACAGAAAGACAAAAAATTATTTTTTTTTATTTGGTCTTCTTTATTTCCTACAAATAAAAAAAAGCAACAATTAGTTTCTTACTTTTTTTTTTTTTTTACATCATTACAATCATTAACACAATTCACCTGTGACCATGCACCCACCTCTAACTTGTGTTTCAATAACTCAATTTCCAGATCCGTTTTAGTTATCTGGTGGTCCAGCAGCACCATTTCCTTCTCTGTTTTCTGCACTGTTTTGAGTAAATGCACTCTGTAGATGCCTTTCAGTGGTAGCTGGGAATACATAAGGATGACATTATACAGTTGCACATGAATTCCACTGAATTAACCTCTGGCATTTACTGGATATCTTACTGTGTTAATCTGTGCTGTGGAGGTTGAGGGACCCTCCTCCTGCTGCCCAGCCATATTCTGTTAAAAAGGATAGGAATCTGTTAATACTTCAGTGTAGGCTAAATGTCACCATAATCCACACAAGAATGTAAAGACGTGAATGGGGAGGAAACTATCAGTACCAACATCAAGATTTTACCTCTGTAGGCCTCTCAGGCTCCCTCTCAGACACTGCAGAGACGGCAGCAGACATTGTGGTCCCATCATCTTCATCATCCTGTGAAGATGAGTGTTGTGTTTCAGTAGGCTATACTTTAAATATGGCATAATCTCTGGAGTATTGGCTACTTACAGTTGAAGTGGCACAAGGATCCATTAGACCGAGTACACCTTCAGAATCTGTTGGGACAAAAGAAAAACCCATGAAAGGGAAATGAACATTGAACTATAGGCCCAAAAGAAGTTGGAGGCCTAGGCCTATTACATCTTATCAAGGCTGGTGGCTCCTGTGTGACTGTGTCCAAAGATGAGGTCCCTCCAGGGATTCCCTCTGCGACTGACCTCCCAATAGTCTGACTCAAGGCCAGCTCCTCTGCTTCTGTAAGACGTGGTGGTGGTCCTCTGCCAGTTTTGCAGGCGTCTGCCCTCATTCTGTTGGCTGAGTAGAAGTCAGATGTTGTTTTTACTAGGCCTAATTTAACAGGATACAGGTGAGGACATTTATGTGTGTGAAAACAGCATTATGTTGGGGATAATGCACACTGAAACAGCTGCTGAATGATATTTACTGGTAAACATGATTAAAAAGAGGCACCTGCACTATTATGCTGAAGTCTTTGAACGATGTTTTTATATTTCATCTTGAGCTGCTTCCACATTCTTTTTATGCCGGTGGGATTGCATCTAAATGAACTAAATTTTAGCTTTAACACCATTTCACCTGTTTGCATCTGTAGCCTAATATAATTGTGATTGCATAAATGTATAAAATAAATTTAAACTTATGCATTGACTCAAGCAGTAATTTTCTCCCACACCGACTCCCGTTCCTTCGCTGCTGCAGCCGTGTTATTCTTCTTCCTGAAAACAGCTTCAAATTCGCTGTATGAGTGCATTAAAATATCCAACTCCAGA